TTATTTTGTTTTAGTTTTGTTTTTATAATGTCATAATTTTGTTATGAGCCCGGCCTGAACCCTGCACACTCCATCATCCATGAGTTTCCTGTGCTTCCTGTCATGGCCATGGAGTTCATCCCCAGATGTTTGAGCTTCCTGTATCTCCTGAACTTCCTGTTTTTGAGGAACATCATAAGCTCATATTTGCTAAGTTTAAAGTATAGAAGGTTGGCATCACGTTCCACCAAAAAAGAGCAGAGAGAGTGAAAGTTTTGGAAAGCGACTTTTGTGGAAAAAAAAACCCCAACCAGATGCTGCTATTTCACTTACCTTAAATTGCATGATGAAACACACACTAGGCAGTTCCAGCCAGAAAGTCAGTTCATTTGGTGGCCATATTTGCAACGACTCTGGGTGTGTAGTACACAAACAGGCTGCAAACAGGCCAACTTTAAAGACCTTTTCTAAACAGTATTCAGAGACATTCGCTCTTTTATTTTTGTTATGTATTTTTGGACTGTTGATGACAACAATACTCTGGGTTTTGTCTTTATTTGACTTGAGTGTACTGTGTGATATCTTCCAGAACTTGGAAGAGAAACATATCTCTGACACAATGCTTAAGTTGTAGCTTATCTGGTTTGAGGCACCAGTGCTCTGTAAATGATTTGTGTTTGTTGTTTCTCTATCCTTGTGGGAACTAAAGTTCTAAAACACCATATCTAAGCTAAAATATTCCAAAGGCCCCTAGAAGGACACTGAAAACATGACTCAACCATTTTAAGAGTAACTGTGTTGGTCTTTTTCACTGCACAATGGAAAGTATTTTGGCATTAAGCATGTCTCATAATAGTCTCTCTCTTTAATTTAGCCACTAATTTGAAATCTAAGCTGCATGATCAAATAGTAAAATATTATCATATGATAGCTTATTGCATATAAATCTTATCATCCATTCTGCTGGAGGGATTGAAGAATCCCGAGAACAAACACACAGTAAATGTCGCCACCTTGTGCTGAACATTGGTATAAAGTAACTCAACAGTGCCTTTAAAGTTGTTATTAGTTGGATATACAGTGTGCTAGTGAAACATTGGATTCAGTTTGCTTAGTGATGTTATCGAGTGTATCATCATTGTGCCAAATTTTATTATGCAAAAAATAAATGCAACTGTCTGCAAATGAACAAGGTTTCCTAAAGGTAGGTCAACTAAGAATAGTTTGTTTGAACAATTGCCTCACACAGATATAACGATAACGTACCAGTCAATGGCTGCTTTTCAATATCCCTCCTCGTTTCCTCGCTCCTCCGTCCTCCATCCATCCTATGACCCAGAAACCGATCGAGCCCAGCCATCTTGAAGGACATCTCAAGCGAGGATCGAGGAGTGAGGAGGCTTCCAGAGGAGTCATGAGCGAGGATACATGGGTGTATCCTTTGTGGAAGTGTTTTATCGACTAAACGCAACGCAAGTTTAAATTCTCCTCCCCCTTCACATCTGTCACAATAATTTTAATTTATACTTCACCTTTGCAGTTTAAATAAACCACACATCTCACATATTTCAACAGGGTATCTTGCTTTATTATTATTTATTGTGAATTTCGTAAATAACCAAACTTCAACAACATAAGGGCAGATCCTTTGAGCGCTGCTGATGACGCTGTGAAGTGACGCTCGAGTGATCAAGTATTCCAATGTATAAAAAAGCTTTCCTTTGATTCCTCCATCCTCCTTTTATTTCCTTGCAGCCTTCCCTCGCATCATCTTGGGGGTAGAGCTGAGACGCGAGGAAAGGAAACGAGGATGCACAAATAAGAAATGAGAAGCACCCATGTTTGGGCTACATCTACTCCTAGGAATATCTTTTATATTTTTAAAATAATTAAATAATATAACTATTAAAAGAACAGTATATACGCTACTTAAGTATGAATCTCAATTGCAATTAAATGAAAATGTATTAGAGTTTAAATTTGAATTCAAGAATGCTTTTTTTGACCCACTTAAATAAGACGTATGTACTTAAAATGAGCATATAACAGGTCTGCTATGGGGTGAAGTAGCCATAGTCATAGCCTGTTTTATCATGAATAAAGCACAGCTATTGACCAATCAGAATCAAGGATTGGAACTAACCGTTTTATAATGAAGTTTATGGAGTAGCATATTGTGAGAGATCAAGTAAGTGAATGTACTTGCATTTACAGTAGATATAGCATTTTCCTTTAGGTCAGTCATATATTCATATTAAAAAATCAGTTTGAATGTCCGCGATGTCCTTTTAACAGTTAATGGATTTTCCCGTGCCGGAGTGCCCTGACATCCCAGACAGCAACATAGTGTTGGCCCAGATCCGGCCCACATCCAGGCTGTGTGGATTCCAGGTGTACCAGATGTGTGGGCCAGATCTGGGCCGATACTGCTGTCTGGGATGCTTAGTCATTTGTCAGTTGCATCTTGCTTCTCCGGGTTCACAACAAGTTTCAGTCCTTTCAATCAGGGCTTAATTTGAGCCGGAACACGCCGGAACATGTTCCGGCACCTCCGACGTTGGATCCGGAACCTTTTTTTATTGGATCCGGCACCTCCTGTGTCACTATGGCAAATAAATAATTACTGTTTGTGTAGTGTTCAATGTTGTTATCTGTCTTGTTAGTCTTTATTCCCCATTGAAGTTCCACAAAAATCTTGTGTTTGCAGTTTCGATGCGTTTTTGAGGTGAATTTTTAGGGTAAAGTGAGTCGCACACCGGACAAGCGCAGCGCCGCGTCGCGCAGCGCCACGTCTTTAAAATTCTAACACATTATTCTCTACACACACCGGCAGCACCATTCGGCGTTGTTAATGTAAATACTGTTTGACTTCACCCTGTGCTGCATGCAATATAGGCTACATTTAGTTTTACATTCATTTACAGAAATCAGTTGCTTGAATTAAAATTGCTGATGTTATCGGATTTTCAGGTGAGATTCTCGTTATTTCGACATAATAACAGGGGTTTTTCCAGCATTTAATTTTTTTGGCGGTCACCAAAGCAATTTTTTGTCCCGCCAAAGCCTTTTTTGATCGGTGAGTGATGTAGAATAGAATGACTGCTGCGCTTGACAGGGCGCATAACGAGCAGAGAGAGAGCGCGTCCCGGCCGCGCGCGCGCACTCTCACGTCTTCAAACAACACGAGCGCTGTTTTGCTCTCTCTCTCGCGCGCGCATATTAATCAAAATCAATTGACACGATAGTAAAAGGTCGGAAGATCGCAGTTTCACGTGGAGCATTTGGAGATTTTTTTTCTCCTGAATTACCGCGGTGTGTGAATTGTGCAAAAAAAAAAAAAAAACACGTTGCCTTATTATCTTCTCTAAAAAGCGTTCCGCCCATTCAGCTGACATAAACCACATTTCAATAACCGAAAAAACCTATCCAGTGATTAAATGTTTTCTGTATTGACGCAAATCTTGTCCTAAACTGCCGAGATAATCACACAAGCGTGCCGTGGCTGGACGTCCACTAATGACACGTCCGATAGGCCTACGCAAACGAATGACTCATTTTAACTATTTACTTTAATGAATAGTTAAAACAACTGACCTGTCCAACACTGAACTCACGAGACCTCTGAATCTGTGTATAAAAAAATCGGTAGGCTAACCTTAACCTAACTATAGATTAGTTAACATTTAGCTCGTAACAAACTGCACTTCTACAGCATTGTTAATGTCAATGTCAATATTTAGAGAGTCTGTATATATGGCCCACTATGTGTTGTTGTAGCCATTAAATAAGCGCATTTTGTTTAATTTTTGTAAAAATATTATAATGTTATTTTTTTAGATGCTGATTATGAAAATTGAACAGCATTAGTAAGATGCGCCCCTCAGCACCTGCTTTAAAATTATCTGGCGCCGCCCCTGCTCGAGTTGTCCTAGACGCGACTCGGCGCTTCTCGTCCGTTGTGCGACCCTTGCTGCTTGTGAAAAGTTTTTTTTTTTTTTTTTTTTTTTTTACATTTTGCACCCATGTAGTGCATGTTCTGAAATTAAAATAAACATTGCCCTGATACACACACATCGTTGTTAAGGTTTTTTTTTAGTCAGAGAACGAAGAGAGAGCTACGTAGCTTTTTTTTTCTTTTTCTTTTTTTTCCGTTTCCTCCAACCCCCGTTTTGAGTCGCCGGATCCACCCCCCCTCTACGCTCCGGGACCTCCCACTTTACAAATTAACCACTGCTTTCAATATAGGCTAAACGTTTTCTCTGCTGACAGACTCACTCATAAAGACATAAAGTCTTTGCCGCCATATAATGGCGAAATAATGTAACTTCAGTTGCTGTTCACAGTCAGTGACTATTTTTTCCAGCGGAAGGAAGGCTTTTAGTGATTGTAGCTACGTCATAAAAAAAGATGCATTGATAGGCCTACACGCTAGCGTCTTGCCTAAAAACCGCCTTCTTCAACCGTGACTTATTCACGATACAGAACAGCCCTTGCTTGAATAATGTTGGAATACAAACAAAAGAATAACGATAAAATAAGATTAAGTCTAATTCACGGCAGAAGTGTGAAAGGTTAATTAAGTGAGAACAATCGCACATTAATTGAGCAGTTCTTATCGCCAGACATTAGACTACAAATGGGTGTTTTTAAAGGGCAATAAAAACTCACGACATGATCTTACAAAATGCTTCAGAAAATGCATAGTTTTTAGAGATATCATCCTCAGATTTGAAATGAAGCATGACCACACTTGTGGCTTCACTTTATTCGTTGTTATACATTCAAATAACATTTGTATAGGCTACATTTAAAAAATAATGCTTATAGATCTGAACAATGGACTCACGCGCCTCAGTGTTTTCTTATTGGTCGTCCACGGCGTACACGACTGTATTGTGGCAAGAGCCGCCCTAAAGCGGCAGCGGTGTGATTTGTCTGTGTGTGTGTGAGAGAGAGAGAGAGAGAGAGAGAGAGAGAGAGAGAGAGAGAGGGAGAGAGAGAGAGAGAGAGAGAGAGAGAGAGAGAGAGAGAGAGAGAGAGAGAGAGAGAGAGAGAGAGAGAGAGGGTACCATTTACAACGACCTTTCCAAATCCAATGGCATGTGAGCGCATTTGTGCGCCTTGAAGCAGATGATACCTGAGCATATAGAATAGGTCTGCGCGTAAGGTTGGCGCTGCGATGCTTCTAAATAGTTTGAAACAGCGCCATGTTAACTGCGATGAAGAAAAACAAGGCAACTGAAAAGTTTAGTTTAGTGATACGGTAGTTCTCAGTCCTGGATAACGACACGAGGAATCTGCGGCTTCTGCGATCATGTTCTGACTCAGCGACGAGGAACAGACGGAGCGGAATGAACCCAGATAGCATACATATCCGGGCCTCATCTGGGCCAATTATGGCACATGTGGCTCAGTTCTGGCAGCGGCAAAGGTTATATGGGCCGTATCTGGCCCACACACATCAAGCCGGTTTTAGTGTGAGACGTGGCATGCTGTGTGTGGGCCAGATCTGGCCCGTGTGCAACAAACCGGCTAAAGTGTTAGTTGTGGCATGCTGTGTGTGGGCCAGATCTGGCCCGTGTGCGACAAACCGGCTAAAGTGTGAGTTGTGGCATGCTGTGTGTGGGCCAGATCTGGCCCGTGTGCGACAAACCGGCTAAAGTGTGAGTTGTGGCATGCTGTGTGTGGGCCAGATCTGGCCCGTGTGCGACAAACCGGCTAAAGTGTGAGTTGTGGCATGCTGTGTGTGGGCCAGATCTGGCCCGTGTGCGACAAACCAGCTAAAGTGTGAGTTGTGGCATGCTGTGTGTGGGCCAGATCTGGCCCGTGTGCGACAAACCGGCTTAAGTGTGAGTTGTGGCATGCTGTGTGTGGGCCAGATCTGGCCCGTGTGCGACAAACTGGCTTAATTGTGAGTCGTGGCATGCTGTGTGTGGGCCAGATCTGTGCGACAAACCAGTTTTAAGATTGTTGTCTGTGGGCGAGATATGATATTTCATTTAGTATGATATTAATGCATGGTTATTAAGTTTTAAAAAGTAAAGGAAAAAGGCTTACTTTTTTTCTTGTCCATTTGTTTTTCTTAGATCTGACAAAGACTCCTTGGATTGAGTCATCCTATCTTTTTCTTAAAATCTGACAGATTTATCTTTAGAAAATTTAGATACTATTCTCTGCTTGAACTTTGACACTGAATTTGAGGAATTCTAGGTAATAGGAGTCATTCTGGTTACCTTGATATGAATAGCTTATTCTAGATTGCTAAGGGCATGTTGTTTATTTGTTAATTTATATATTGGATAATGATGGAAATAAACTAAGATACTGACATGTGCAATGTATACAGCCTTATGAAAAGCAGCAATCAATTAGATCAAAAGTAATCAGAAAATAATTTTTCAATCACCTGCAACATCTGAAATTCAATCAATACTTTTTTGAACTAATGTGGTTTGCACATGCACGCATATTATCTGTTATCTTTGTGGGTACTCTCAATAGACATCTTTAAAGGTGCAGTCTGTAAGAATGTCTGTGAGCTAGTGGTGGAAATAGGTACTGCAGTCCACATTCAAAATATGGGAGATTGTTGTTTACCCCGTCCCCTCTTCCTCAGACTTGACCCTCATGCAGGTTGCCAGTTTAGGTCACGCAACAGGAACGAGCGCAATTGACAATGAAAGCCGAGGAGACTTACTCATAAGTTGATGAGTTGATTTATTATTTATACCCAGCTAACAATGACATGGGGGTCCACCAGCGTTTTTTGGGGAGCACAAAGTCAGCGGCTCGATATGGTTGGACCTAAACCAGGAACTTCCGCCAATAGCTGTGAATTATGAAAAGGTTCCTCCAGTGCGAAAGCCCCTATAATGGTGTTTGTATACCAGTTAAAGGCAGCAATGCACTAATCTGTGCATAATGTCAAAAAAAGAACAGAAGAAGAAATAACAACCTTTAAAAGTCAGAGCATCGACCCAGACTTTGCTTAAGTGGATCAGAGAAGCACAGAGACCGCTTGCATTTTTACCCTTTGACAGTTCCATTACAATAAAGGTAAGCTATCAGGCAAGCAATATGGTTGCATGTTAAAAATTTACAACATGGAAATTCCAAGTTAGAATTAGTAATCTTTTGCAGTGTTTCCTCTGTCTATAATATAACTTAAAAATGACATAATATAACTTCAAGTTCAAGTTATTTTTCAATTTGCAATGCAAGTGCCAAATATATATTTTAATTGTAGTCATTACATGATTACACCTTTTGAGGTTTAAACTAAATGAGCACTTTTGTCCTGCAATGCAGTAATTCTTTGCTGTGTTGGCAAATACTGAGGCCCCAAATAGATATTTTTAGTTTTACTGTAATGCTTGTAATGCATGCACATATCAAGGAATAAATGCGTCTATCATCTACAAGCCACAACACTGGAACTTCCTTTTAACTTTAGATTTTTGTGTGTGTTATTTTTAGAATAAGTGCTTGTGGAAACTGCCTGGAGGTCATCACTGAACAATGGCTTCAATACAGGCCTCCGTACACTGGAGGTGAGGATGTTTCATTTTAAGTTATGGTAGTATTTTTGGGTGACCTAAATGAACAATGTAATTAACGATATCTTGAATTGATAAACAAAAGTCATGTGGGTCAAATCACCTTTATTTATAGAGCATTATACAGATTGTTTCAAAACAGCTAAATCATGCATTTCATGATGCAGTCAGTTCACTCTTTAATGTGTAATTGATGACAGAAATTTTATTTTTGGGTGAACTAACTCTTAAATGGGAATGGCTAAAAGGCAGTGAAGGCAGGACGAATAACACAGCTGATGTTGGGGTCTGAGCACTAGTATCTGTCAGGGTGCTGCCTGTCATAAAGATACATCTATCTCCAAATCATCACCGTGACCCAGTTTCTACTGCCATTGTTGAGGAAAGAATTGTAATCGACAATCTTTAGAACCCACCTCAAGCAATTTGCCTCCTGTTTGAGCTGCCACTTGGATTACTGCAATGAGATCAGAAAAGAAAACTAAAACTTTTTAAAATTGAATTACATAAACCAGTGCCAACTTGCGTGCTGACTAAACTGTGCCATAGTTAAGCTTATGCTACTGTTACACTGTTAAGGCTACAATTAGAACACCCTAAATCAGTTGTTTTTGCTTTGTTTCAAAATGGTTCTAAAAAATGCATCTGCTTGTTGAAGTCACATATATAAAATGTAGTCCTTCCTCCCAAAATGGTAAAAGATGAATATGCGAGAGAGCCACGGTTTACAGATATGACAGCACAGATATGGCTGAGCATCTCTTCAGCAAACTGCGGCAAATGAAACTGAAAGTTCAGTTCACATCCTGAAGCTCAACACACAGTTGTCTTCATTAAAAGTAGGAACAAGCTCTTACCAGTGCTGATGCCACTTTAAAAATTAGCTATAATGATAAATAAAATGCAACTTCGTGAATGTGAATTTACATATAGCGTGGGAATTAAATATTACATTTATATTATATTTGCGGAGATGCAGTTTTGTTGCCAAGTATAAGTGGAACACTTAAAAAAAGTAAAGAAGTCAGTAAAAATACATGAATGATCAGGTGTAAAATCTGTTCTTCAAAGTCTAATTTAAGCCTGAAAACAATGACAAATCTGAAACAAATTTCATGAGAAATTAAAGAATTTCTGTACTATTTCTGTGTTAGCATTCTGAATTAAATGTTTGTGTATTTATGCATGTGGGGGAACAACATTTTCTGAATAGGAAACTTTAAAATGGCACTTTATGACAAAAAGATAGCAGACCCCTGTTGTTGAACAATTTAAAAATAGTTAACTTAAATTTGCACTGTCACTACCTTATTTTGTGTGTATTTGTAAATGTGATGAATGGAACCTTTTTTTTTATCAATTTATAATGGTTGTGTGAAGTGCTTAAGTGGAGTAAAACATCTTTTAAGGCAATCAGTTTGCATTTTTTTAACAAGATGTTTAATTAGATAAAACTGAAATTCCAAGTTGCAGAGAATATTACATTATTTAGCTCAACTTACACATCACTAACTAAGCATTTGTTACAGCATTATATTCTTTCATTTTAAGTTTAAGGCAATCACTTTGCATGTTTTTTTTGAGGGAGGTTAACGAATTGCAATTTATTGTGTAAAAGAGTCTGAAAGCACAGAATAAAATAAAAAATAGTGAGATGGGCTTATGACAAACAAAAGCAAAGTAGTTTTAGGTTGAATGTAAAAACAATACAAAATCATGGTGGATGTGAAATTTTGCATATGACTCAAATGAGTTTTAAACTAAAGAAATAAACGAGATTTAAATGTTTTGCCTCAGTGTTTATTGTCCTGATTCTTTACATTTATAAACTATGTAAGTGAGGCCTGTCTGTATGGGTGACTATCCTTTCCCAGGATTTTCAATAGGCCTACAAGTAAACAATAAATTAAAAATAGAGTTGGACTATGTCAGAAACATGCAAATTTACGGCCTCTCCTTCAGTCTATTAACCACAGTTTTATTATATTATTAATAATTGAATGCCAGGTTGATTTAACAAGATATGATGGGTGATGACACACATTTTACATATGTATAAATATTAAAATATATCAACTTTGCTATCAAAGTCGCGTGCAAAGCCCGCGAAATAGCTTGTTAGCGAGTATAAAAGCTGAAGTCTGTGGCCAGCGCGTGCAAACAGCCGGACTGCCGACTCCCTGCTGAGAGGACTGATAACTTTGAGTTTTCTGGAGGTAAGTACTTTAATTATTCGATATACTTTACTTAATAATGATAATAACAATAAAGTATATATATATAACAAAACTATTAATATCCTCACAGAAGCGAAAGGGAACTAAATTCGTTAAACATAAGTTGACGTTGAAGCGCGCCCACTTCTCAGACAGCGCGTGAACACTGCTCAAGCACCCATTGAAATGGCCGATAACTCACGGGAAAATACGATATTCTCTATTAATTTTAACCTCACAGCGGGCCCATGTTATCATTATATCTGCCTGAGAAGTTTTCCTTTGTAGCAAGATGATATTTTTGAGAGCATTAAGTCCTGTAAAAATTCAGGGCTTTTCGAGATAGCAGCTAAATGTTTGAAGTTTTCACCATGACAACGCCCTTTCCTGACTGACATTGACTGGATGACAATTCGGCACTCTTATAGAAATATGATTTGATCAATTTGATTTTGTTGTAATAAATTCACATTTTAAGACAAATTTGGGTTTTTAAATAAGAATTCGACGTTCTGTTATGACTTATGAGACATGCATCCGTTTTATTCATGTCCACTGAAAACACCGGGACTTGCTTGTCAGGC